ATCAAAAGCGAATTAATTGTTCTTTTCTCCTTAGTGGTGTCCGATTTGACAGCAACTTGAATTTACGCATTACTGGTTTGCATTTTAGTGCTAGTACAACATGACGTTACTTACAAAGACATATAAAAAAATATTTCAGTATTTTCATCCCCTTTAAAAAATTTAAATTTTATTCGGGAAAAGTAACCCTACAGCGCTCAATCAAATAGAACTCTCTAAATTAAGCAAAATGACTGCTAAATTTTCAAAAAGCACCAAAGAAGTCTTCTCCTTTATTACATTTTTGGTATCTTTGAATACCTCTATAAATTCCCTCTCTTGCAATATATGATACTAAACACCAAAAACGCAAAAAAAAAAAACACTGAATCCAGCAAAAACTTATGCATATCATGAGAGAAGACAATACTCATAAATACAAGCGGTTTGAACAAACCTCAACACCTCCATGAGGTGGTGATAAGCCAGTTGTATGTTCGGCAATCAAGCTAGCTATTTTCGCTTGATGAGCTGCATCCAAGCACTACAAAGCTTGACAAACAATCTGCCCCTTTTAAGTCTCGCATTTCATAGAATTTAAATTCGCAATGAAAAAGGCAAGAGTTGTAAAGATGAAGATAAATACCAGACGATTTAAAATTGTTAAATTATTACCCAGGAAAAGCAGAAAATTTCTGCACAAAGCTTAAAATATCACAAATATTTGAAATACAATTTCCATCATAGCAACTAGAAGCGTATGAAAATAATCCAAGAATCAAAATATCCATGACTACCTGTTTTCCAGTAGTTAACATCTGAACAAATGAGGAAATTGCGAGACTCCCCAAAACAGGACGTATTTGTTTCAAGAGACAAAACCAAAAATAAAAAATAGCTTACCTGTTTTTTTGCTCGCAATGCAGCATCTTCAAGAGTTTCCGCAGCTTCGTATTTTCCTTGACGTCTGTATAGTGCTCCGAGATTCTTCAACGTCGTAGTTACTGTTGGACTAAAATGAAATTTAAAACTTTCAAAGTTGAAAACAAGCAATGTTATGATATTTCCAATATCATAATTTAAGATACAGGTTAAATTTTTTTGGATAGAGAACATGGTTCAAACTATCCATTTTCAGTCAAAAAAGAAACTAATGTTCATGTTAAAGTTTTTCAAAAAGAAGAAAATGAGGAATGAGCAAAAAAAAACACAGAATGGAATTGATGACTCAAGATTTCAATACTTAACAAATCACCTATCAACTTTCGCAGCTTTATGCCAACCACCATATTCCTGATACGTGTTTGTATCACCACTTCCTCCTTTATGCTTATTTTCTTCACGATCTTCAGCAATTTGCCAAATTGGCTTATTGTCATCTGCTACTTTCCCAAATTCACGTTCATGAGCTCGAGTCAAGATTTGTTTATAGAGGATTTCAGCATCCTGAAAATTTTTTGAGTTAGAAAATTTCACCAGAAGAATTACTATTGTAATCATAATAAAACATCACTAAAAAATGATTAAAAGCAACAGATATGCCCAAATATAGATTGGAATGAGACTAGTAAAGTATAAGCAAAGTTAAAATTATGATGATAAAATAATGCAAAGTACTCAATATTCATAATTTCCAAAATCCATATTTTTCTACTATAAAAACTCATGATCCTTACTCACTAAAATGCAAAAAACTACAAAGGTTGAAGAACGATTTGATATGTTATACAGACTTCAAGGAATGAGAGGATAGCTAAACAACTTGGCCCAACGCGAATTTATTATAATTCAATTAAGCATGATGACATGACGGCTGATCTAGTATTATTTCAAAAGAGCCTGATCGAAATGTAGTTCCACCATATGCACAGTTGTAGTACACTGAGCGGTTTTATTACAAGTTTTCTTCTGATTATTTTGCAAATGAAAAATGAAACACTGTATTAAGTTTTAAAAATGTGTGGTATATATGGTTTTGAAGCTGAGTAGTGAAAAATCAATGACAAAAACAATGAAAAGAATTAGGTTTTTTTAGTAGTGCTTTTTTATAATTCAATTAAAAAAACTAGAAGCATTTAGATATGCACACTGCCACATATTCAAGCTTAAATAATCACAAAATTTTTTCAAGCATTCAGGAGCTTAAGTGAGAAATTGTTTTTTTTTCACTAAAAAAAAAAGCTAACAAAACCCAAAATATGAGCGTATTGCTTTTTGAAATACATTATCACGCTGAAAAGATAAATACTGACAAGTTAATGAAAAAATAAAAATTGAGTAAACACCTGAATTTAGTACAATTACAACTGCACATTGAAATTTTAATACTATCACCAGTGTCACCAAAATATCCCAAAAATTTCACCAAAAATTATCCTGTGCTATTTCCCCGTGCGATTATAGTAACTGAGAAATTTTCTTCACTAGTTAACGATGACCACAGGTTATGCATTCCTCCTGGCCTATATCAATTTAAAGCATTATAAAGTCTAATTTCAAGCATAGTTTGAACAAGAAAATTGTACCTTATATTTTCCTTGTTTCAAATAAGCTGACGAAAGATTGTTCTTCGTTTTTGCAACATTTGGATCATCGGGACCTAATTTTGATTCGTAGATTTCGAGTGCACGCTTGTAATACCTTTCGACTTCATCATATTTACCCTGGTTTTGGCAGAGCAAAGCAAGATTATTTAACTGCTTGGCAACATCTGGATGATCTACGCCAAGCACCTAAAAAAGTATTTATAATTTATGAATAACTATCACTGTTTCTAAAAAGAGAATACCACATCACTAAAAAAATGAAGTCTGGAACTTCAATAATATCAACTTGATCAAAGGATAGTTGCCTAGTGACCTCTCGGTCTTTCGGCCAAAGTATTTTCAGATTTACTACAAAATTTCTTCAAGAAGAAGTTAGCATTCCAGCTAAAAAACGAACATTTTCTCGGATTTCCAAAGCCCTTTTACAGAGTGGTTCTGCATCCTTATATTTGCCCCGTTTCCCATACAACACTGCTAGATTATTGAGTGTTGCTGCAACAGCGGGATGACTTTCACCAAGACACTTCTCACGTATATGTAATGCTTCGTTTAACAAATTAGCTGCCTCCTTATATTTATTTTGATCACTGAAAAAAATATTAAATTAATTTATGAACTGGATATCATATGTCAAAATATTGGGGAGTACAGATCCACTTTTCAAGACTGTTTAACAGTCCAACAACTGCCTTGTATTTTCCAGGCCAAGCCCTTATAAATATTTTTCTTGGTATCATCTGGGAAACAATTGGAGTTTAGAAGAATAAATCATGCTCTCGACTTTTTAAATCCATAATAAAGACCTAAAATCATAATAATCGTCAAAAATATCACAATACCGTCTCTTTTACAAATTCAAAGAGATACCGATAAACAAGAGCCAGAATATTAAGCATTGTTGCAACATCTGGATGATCATGTCCACTTGTTTTTTCTAAATCTTCCAAAGCTTGCTTGCAAAGCGGTACTGCCACTTCGTATCTTCCCTGTGATGCATACTGTATTACCTGTAAAATATTACCTGTAAAACCTGTGAAAATACTGTACTACTGTATTTTAAAATACTGTATTACTGTACCACCGTATTTTGTAGTAAAATACTGTATTTACAGTAGATACTACATTTACAGTAAAAATACTGTACGTAACACTAAAAAATACTGTATCACCTGTAAAAAGAGTAATACAGTATACATCACCTGTAAAATTATCGGTAAATCAATAAATAACTCTAAGATCAATTAAAAATACTGTGGCTTCTCTGAATCAGTCCAAAAAATCCTACCAGGTTGTGCAAAGTTCGAAGACGAGCTGGGATTTCGTAGCCAGCAGATGCACTTGCTGCCATTGAATGAGCTGGTGTCGGATGTGCAAACTGTCCAGTCATGTGTCCTACAATTCGGTTCATTATTCTGCCATTATTCTAGCTATATTAAACTGTTACAGACTAGGAAACTGTAGCAATAATATGTGTAACTGAAAAAATCCCGACTAAGACCATATCAGTATTACATTTACATGTTTTTAACAATGATGCAACACAATTGCGCATTGGTTATGGTAAAAAAATGAAAAAATTAATTAACTAGAAAAATTTATAGTACCACTTATTTCCTCATCTTCTTCTGGACCAAAACCTAAGTCCTGAAGAGTGTTATCACTACGACTGTCGCTCTGATCCATGGTCTTGTCATTCTCCTGAAATTATCATAATTATTAAGATTGTATTTTTAACACGTTCTTTTCTACAGTGAAAAATCCAACGATTTCCTGAGTTCGAAGACTAAGTGTAAGCAGAGGTGCTCCATAAGTAGAATTTTATTAATTACTCAATATTATTTTGAAATTTTCAGCATCTTCTAATTTTAAAAAATACTACATTATTACTTATGAACTCGAGTACTTAACTAACTTTTATTCAAAGAAACAGTTGCTTACAAACAATTCACTTTCATATATTTTTTATACTGAAGATATAATGCTTTTCGAGGATTACCTAAGGCAGACTCAGTACTACTGCATAAATTAAAAAAGCAAAAATGAAGAAATTTGCTAAAATGGAAAAAAGATATTTAAGTGAGTAACTACTCTTTTCAAAATATTCAGAATAACCTGCTGGTCATCGTACTTCTTGATCGAATTCATGTATTCCAAGTGCTTTTTTTCCTCTTCCAATTGTGCCACTTGCTGCAATTTAAATGTTATCAGAAATCTGCTACAGAGAAAGCTCTGAAAAAAATAAACTTTTCTTGATACCAGATAAAAGCTAACAGACCTGTCCAGTGGCTTGCAACTTCTGCTGCGTCGAATTCAATTCATCTCGAAGCCAAGCATTCTCTTGACAAAGTCTTCGCACTTGTGCTTTCAACTTTTGCTTCTCGGCTTCGACTGTTTGCAAATGACCAGCTAATGCCATCATAACCTAAATTACATTTAATAAGGTAAAATCTGCATTTCTAGAGATGATCATATTGCTGACAACTACTAAGAATAAAGGAAAAAAAATATGCTCAACTTTTTTTTCAAAAAAAAAATCAAACTCTAACCTGAGCTTCTTCGATGCCCAAACGTAACACTTCCAAATTTCTATCCACAATATGTGTCTTTTCTTCAATAAGTGCTGACTCATCCGCATTCAATTCTTGAATGCTGCTCATCAGTGTACCCTAAAACAGAGATCTGTTGTTTAGCAATGCACGAATGCTGTGAACACTTTCGAAATAATCATCAAAAAATTTGCATATTTACCTTGATCGATTCATGCTCATCCTTCAATGCTTCCAAACCTTGCACAACCGTACGTGTACTTTGTAAAATTTCTTCCTGTGATAGTGCTGTCATTCTGCCAATATCCTCGATTTTTCTCCTAGAAAAAAATCATAGTTCAAATTTTAAAAAATCCAAAAAACTCTGAGAATCGAGATATCTTTTAATTGCATGGAAGATCGATGCTGGAATTCCCTTTACTTATAAAATTTCTTAAGCCATGGATATTTCAGCCAAAAACGTGAAACTGTCAGATGTTAAGAGAGTCGTCAAAGAGATCGACAAACGATATTCACTTAAATGTTTGTTATATATATGATAGAGAAATAGAAAAAATCGAAATACGTATGTCACTTTGTTGGCGACAGATGAAAATAAGCACGGTAACTCCCCAATCCTTCCCCCATTTTTATGTCAGCTAAGAGCACTCTGCAGATGTTAAATACATACACACACATACACATACATACACATACATACACATGCACATACACATACACATACACACACACACACACACACANNNACACACACACACACACACACACACACACACACACCCCTGATCGATCTACTCTTTTCAGCATCATCATCAATATGTATTGATTCATCAAACGATGTGAAGGACACAGACATGTCAACTCAACCACTGAGCATGTCCTGATAGATTCTTAGCACACAGTCTCGTCCGAGTAATATGACTGGAATCGAGAGCCCGATTCAACCAACACTGCATTTACTATATCATTTTATTTACGAACATTGTACGTACGGGATCATTAAATGTCATCTGATAACATTCAATCTAAATTACTAAATTTTCTCTTTATCATTACTTAGTTTATAACTCAATTATGAACATGAAAAAAAAAATGCTTTTCACGAGAGCAGATGGCAACATACACACACACACACACAAGGAATTATTTCACTGTATATTGATAACTTTGATAACTTGCACACCAATATCAAATTAATCGGAAGTGATATTTACATATTCACACTTATTCTTCTACGGATTAAGCTAAAATCATCAAAGTATGTCCTGCTTGTACATGCTTGCAATAATAAAGAGGGAAAAGATAGTTGTGCAATATAAGACATTAACTGCGATGAAAATAATTTCTTGAAAAGTGAATGGATAAAGAGAGTAAAAGAGAGATCGTGGCAACCAGCCATGAAGTATAAAAGTTACTTATTCGAGCATTCATTGTCTCGAGAACGTCGCTCACCTTTTTCACTACAAATATTTCTTTCATTCACTTTCTTCTTCATCAATACTAACGCTTCGTATCGATGTAGAAAGTGGGTGAAAGAAATACTGAAAGCAAGAAGAAAAAACATAGTGGATAAAGCTGGAAAAGTCATACCTGGGAGATCGGAACATCATATGAACTTGCTGGTTTACACAAAAAAAAACCACCAAGCTTATTGTTGAAGCGAGGGAGAAAAAGGAAAAGCACGGAGGATGCTACTGGAATGATGAGTGGAATGTCAATGTTCGAGGCAAATCAATCTAGCCAAAGCAAGCAGGCCTAAAAGGGTAACGGTCTATGCCTCTCATCAGTAACTCTCCCTAGAGAAATTCAATAACAGGAACAAAGAAAGAGGTCTCTCTCCCTCTCTCTCTCTCTCTCTCTCTCTCTCTCTCCCTCTCTCTCTCTCTCTCTCTGTTCGTTCATTTATTTCATATCATTAAGATGAACAAATGTCAAAAGGTCAAAGTATTTTGTTCAATAAATTAAAGGGCTAAATTACAGAGATATGTGTTGAATTTACTTTTATGCCATTTATAACTGTAACAATTAAAATAGAAAAAGGTGGTGGCATTAGCAGATAATAAAAAGGAGCCAATTCTCAGAAAGTACTATCGAACTGTATTCATTCCAATAATCCACTCAAGAGAAGAGAAAATTAAATTTAAAATAAACAGAATTTAGAAATTAAAGAACGCTGAATAAAGTGAAATGAAAAGGAATTGAAAATAAATGTAACATAAATAGAGAGAGAAGATAGAATTGAGAAAGAGAATACATACAGTTGGATGGAGATGACACCGATATATATTACTGTCCGCTACCCATACCATCTATACCGCAATATTCTGAAATAGTAATTAATATCTCTCCATCATGGTTAATTCATTTCAATATAACTTTGCTATTCTATTTCATGAAATCTATCAATATCATTTTTAAAAAATATCACAAATTTATGCTATGAATGTATGAGGTACTGTTTAAATTTGACATCTAAAAAGTTCTATGTGTACACGGACAATATGATACTTATTGGAGTTCCATGTATAGATCAATAAAATATTGTATACAATTATAATCTACCTGAAGCATAATTCTGATATCATCCTGCGATTCCTCAATGCCAATGCCACTTACAGTATCTCATTGCTTATAGAAGGCATTAGCAATATAGCATGGGAATGGAATATTTTGATAAGGGAGAAAAGAGAGCAAGGCAGAAGAAAGAAAGAGAGAGAGAGAGAGAGAGATTTCCTAAATTTAAGACTGAAATGGTAAATTTGATATCCAAAAATTTCACTCCTGATCATACATCGATTACAGGAGAATGTGCGGAATGAAAATTTGAAAAAAAAAATGAAAAAAAATGAAGTATTTAGTTAACTTAGTAAATTGAAATTTTTTATTTATAACTTACAACCGATAAGCATTCAGTGTCGACATAATTAGTGAAGATCGAAAGCTTCAAAATTAGCAACGTGAAGTAATGAGTAAATAGAACGTTTTCCTTGCAGATTCAGGAAGATCGAATCGTGAGTTTTCGCTCTATTCGATGTAAAAAAATATTCTGAAAATATGAAATTTTCAAAAAATGAGGAATACAACGAATGATATCAAATGGAATGATTTTCAAAGCATTAACTAATAAGTAAATTTCCAGGAAAACTGTTGGTATGAGTTAGGGAAGGATTTTTTTCTTTTTTGGAAATTTTAAAAATAATCGGAATTTTATTTCATTAAGCTTAAGACAAAAATTTTGTCAACATGAAATACGAGTGTTGAATATATCTTTGAAATAAAGTTTGGGGATGGGAATATTCAGGCAGTACTTTCCAATAAATTTTATGAGAATTATTGATAAGCTTATTATTGCTCATCATTTAAGCGTTATTGATGATATTTAATAGTAACAATTTGTTTTTCTGAAGGAAGCTAATGAAGTAAAAAAAAATAAACGCTTTGAAAAAAGAACATGGGAAAAAACTATTATAAAATAAATTAATTTGCAATTTAAAGTTTATGCGGATAATGAGAGAGATTTGTTTTTCGTCATTCGTCATCATTGCAAATTTTAAAGCTTTATGAATTTTTAATGAAAGCAGAAACAAGTTTTAAATTCATCGTTGTAACAATAATTCTTTCATCCACTCATATTATTATTATTAACAAATAAAAAGGGTGTGATATTTAGAAATAATCACGAATGTTACAATAAATTCATTAGTCATTTCATCATTTAATTTTGTTAAAAAGAAAGTAAACTATTAGAAATGTAAAGATAAATTACATAAAAGTGCCGGAATGTGAAACTGAGTTTAAATTCCTAAATCAATACTTTTATATAACTTTCATATTTACATTTCATCATAGTTGCTGAATGTTTCTTTTTAATTATATTTCTCTTCCATTTCATTTCCTTACATACGATGTAATTCCCAAAAATAGAGATGTTATTATTTGCATCTGAAATAAGAAAATGTAAAACAGTAAAATGATTAGCATTTGAAAAAAAAGTGTATTTAAAAGAAAAATGACATCTTTCAAATTGATATTTGCAAGAGTAATCGGAGGACGGAAGTGTAAAAGTAATGATTTATCCTCTTATCTTTTTCTTAATAAACTATTATTTTTAAGTTTTTAATTTTAATAAATATTTCATTTTCATATGTAATTAAAATTACTGAAAAAATTTTATCAAATTTGAATGAAGTGAAAAGAAGATAGCAATACAAAATGTACAACATTTTTTTTTGCTTGTTAGGGTACATACTTTTAAAAAATGGTGCCTATTGACTTTTGCAAAAGTTAAATAAACTTTTGCTAAGAGAAAGGAAGAAATGATCGGACGAAAAGTGGATTAAATTAGATCATGGTGAAACAATAGTGAATAAATAAGCTTTGATGTTTATCAGTTCCATAAACATTTCAATCGAATGTTGTATTCGCTTGATTAAATCTTTTTTCTTGAAATAGATTCTTCATTGAATAAATTTTTTAAAAATAGATTCTTAGATTCTAAAATAGATTCTTCATTGGAATTTTTGAGTTAAATATATAATATTGAAATTTCATGAGCTGTTTAAATGCAATAACTGCTTTCTTCATATATAAAAGAATCTAATAATAATAGAGAGATCAGATTTCTG